TCATCGTGATTATCTTGTTTTCATAATTGGAAGCCAAAATGGCCTCGCCCTAACTCCTACTCAAACTGATGCTCACTCCTCATACTGGATCAGTGACCTCCTGTTCTTCCCCTACGCCTTGTTGTAGCCTGGTGTAGCCAGCCGTCCAAGATCGGGACCTCATTGACCAAGAGGGGCCAGAGAATTGGCGGGACAATGTCATGTTGGTGTATCCAGGTCTGACTCGTCCAGGCTTCCAGCTCTTGGTTGCTCACTCAGATGTATGATATCTAATAACATCTGCATACTGACATTTTTTCAGTCACTCACCTTTCTCCTCAGCTGCCTTCTCCTCTTCAGTCTTTCCACCTTCTTCATTCTTCTTCTCCTCCTCCTCCTTCTCAGTTTCTTTCTCTACCACTTTCTCCTCTTGTGTTGGTTCCGTGACGCCTGACGTGGATTCATCCCTGACCAGAACAATGCCTGCAAACTGGACCAAGACCTAGGACAAGACACACAGTGTATATGCATTCATTAGGACCAACAAAAAAAAAAAGAAAAAAAAATAGATGAATAAGTAATGAAGGTGACCATTGCCTCATTTGCTCCTCCAGTAACAAACTGCTTACAACATCCCTGCATCAAGTTTTTACAGATATTTACAAATTCAAGACTATGTCAGGAAGCATGTGTCTTATTTTGAAATGTTGGGGGGTTGTTGTCATTGTCAGGCATAATCTCATACAATTTAAAACATTACAAAGACTTTATAGAAATGATTCAGGCTAAGAATGAATGTGTCGAGTCCAATGTAAAACACCATGCTGTGTATTCTGTTTCCATTTGTTCTCTCATAAAGTAATATAATGTAATATGTAAATATAATGTTGTTCTTTTTAAAGAAACACTTGCACTTAATCTATCTGTAACTTCAGTCACAGATAAATTAATTGCAAGGCGGTGTTGTTTTTTTCCTTTTTGTAAGTTTGCTTTCTGACTATACTAAAAGAAAAAAGGTGTACCTGCATGGCCTTGTTGTACTGGCGGCTGGCGATATAGAGCTCAGCTGCCATGTTGATGAAGTCATCACTGACCAGGTTGGGGTGTCGCGCCAAAGCTTCCTCGATCACACTCAGAGCTGAGGGCAAGTCATTACTCTCATAGTATTGCCTAAACAGGACACACACACACACACACACACACACTTATATACAGACACATGTTGTTTTTTCTTCATGCCTCAGTGTGTCTCTCGTACTTGGCCATGTCCTTGGAGAGCTGCATGAAGTGCTCTCCGTCCTCCAGCGGCAGCAGCGACAGGATCCTGCGGTAGCCGTCCATGCAGTGCTTGTGCTCCCCCAGGCGCATGTGGAGGCTGGAGCGCTCCCACAGGTAGCGCACGTTGGTGGGGTCGTACTTGATGGCTGTCAATCCAAAGAGTCAAACTGTCAGTCTTAGAAGTTAAGAAGTGGGGTTTCAACATGTGTTTCCCAAGTCTAGCAAATTAAATTCAAAATAAATCTGTGGGTTACATTCCTTAAGTAAATATGTTCTTATTACTCACATATACTGAACAAACTTGAACACAACACTTTTCTTTTTACTCAATTTTTGTGAGTTGAAATAAAAGATTTTAAAAAGGTTTATTCCTCTTAAAATATTCTTCTAATATTATGACTGTATTCTTTTAATATTATGATTTTATTGTTGTAATATTATGACTTTATTCTCATAATATCATGATTTTATTCTCAAAATTACAACTTTATTCTTGTAATTTCAGATTTTTTTTCCCACAATCTTTTCTTTCAACTCTTGAAAAATGTTAGTAAAATCAAAGTTTTTATATTTATATACTTTATGTATTTTATATTTTGGTGACTTTGTGTTTGAGTCACTGCATACAGAGGCGTTGACAGCATTGGGTAAGTGTTCTTAAGCAGACTGATTATGGTCCTGTCTTTGTGATTACAAATAAATTCAACAGAAAAAATGTGAAAGCAAAAACTAAATCAAACAAGAAGAGTGTTTGTTAAGATTCTCAGTCCGAAAGTACAGAAGTATCTATGTTGAGATTAACCTTTGGTGTAGCAGACAATGGCCTGTCGAATGTTGTCCTGCTCCAGAGACATCTCAGCCAGTCGGATCCACTCCTCGCAGTCTGAGGGGTTCAGGTGGGCAGCGATCAGACTGAACTGCAGTGCTTTGTCCACGTCGTCGTCGTCCTCGTAGATCATAGCCAACGTGGAGAAAGGCTCATAGGCCAGAGGAGCTGCATGAGAAGGGAGAGGAGTTGGGGAATATATAGATGCCTATCCCTCTGTGAGATAATGTCAAACCTGAAATCTCCAACAACACCCTGAGCTCGTTTCATACCTTGTCTTATGATCTCCATACACATTAAAATGGCGTCCTCTTTCTCTCCTCTGGCATAGCGGATGTTGGCTTCTCCCATCAGCCCTCTCAGAGCTCGGGGCAGCTTGCTTCGATGACGCCTCTCCTGAATACAGCCATACAATAACACACATTAAGAGCTGGCCTTAACACACTCACTTTAGATACTGTTGTTCATCCTCCCCCTCCTCCTCACCTTCATCATCTTCTTGTTTTCTCGGTTAAGCTCCATCTCCAGTGCGAAAACATCTCCCACTGTCAGATCCTCCTCTGCCTCCTCCTCTTTCTTCCTCCTCCTCCCACCTCCTCTCCCTCCTCGCCTCCGCCTCTTCTCTGTCAGCCCCAGCTCTTCCTTTACGCTCTCCTCCTCCACCTTGTAATCCTCATCATCTTTGTCATCAACATAGCTCAAGCTGTCCTCCTCTTCGTCCTCCTCCTCAGAAGATGGTAGCTCTGGTGTTTCTCCCAGCATGGAGGCGAAGGCCTGCTGGACTCCTGGGCTGACTCCCTCTTCTGCCAGTAGAGGAGAGTTGTGTCAGTGATGACCTCAACAGTGTTTTCATGTTCTAGTACTTTCAATTATCTATCAATTAGTCATCAATATACGAGCAGAACCAATATCTGTCTTTTCCATAAATATGACATCTGGATTCATCCTCAGCTCAGAATAAAATCTATACACTTCCAGCTTTATCATTCATTAAGGAAATTCAAGTCTCCTAAATGATTAATGAGTTGACTGCACTGAATAATATATAAAATAGTTTTCTCCCACTCAGGCCCTTTCACTGCAGACATTACTGTATGTGCACTGGCACACATTCATACTTCTAGCTCCACTGGATTAAAATAGAGGTCCTGTTCTCTATTGACCCGTTGCCATGGTGAATAGTAGTACCGGAGCTCCATTGATGATGGCTACTTTTTATTCACAAGTCATGCACTTAACTCAGAGTGACAATAACTTTGTTGAGTGTTTGTTAACTTTGTTGTTAATTCATATTTTTGAACCGAGCTGCTGTTGTGGGCATTTGTCCTACTGTAATATGGAATATTTGAAAGAAAGAAAGAAAGAAAGAAAGAAAGAAAGAAAGAAAGAAAGAAAGTAAGTAAATAAAAAATTAACTCAGAGTTAACCGAAACCGTACTTACCAGCCGCCCATCCCAGAGTACTGACAATAACTAATAATAATAATAATAATAATAATAGAAAAACTATTGTGGTGATTAATTTTACCGATTTTCCCCGGGATTTGTGCCGAGGTGGAGGGCTGGGCATCATCCTCCACATCCTCAGTTTGTCCCTCTGACTCCTGAGAGGAAAGAAAACATTGTCTTTATGTCTCCTACACAATAGTGGAGACGTAACAGTCAAATAACAGTAGTAAAGCTACATTTAGCAAGAAGATATACGGTGGTAGTAGTTTGACTGAGGATGTAATAACAGCCAACAAGCTAATACTGCTACAGCTAACAAGCTAACATTAGCTCTGAGGCTCTAAAAGTAAACAGATAACAGATACACAAGATTTCCAGGCACCAACTTTCACCATAGTGATATTTACCTTCGCCCTTCGCTCGTCTCTCCTTTTGTCAAACTCCTCAAAAGTTATCCTTCCCTCCAGGTAGTCTATGAGCTCAGCGCTGAAGCCGGACATCTCTGTCTGTCCTGTTCTCCCTGTGTCTCCGGCTGAAGCTGACGGACAAGCGATGGACAGGGGACGCTTCTTCAAACCTACCGCGTCATACACCAGATCAATATATATATGAATACAAACCGAAGAGAGGAGCAGACATCTTCAATACTGACTACTGCACTTCAAATAAACACCATCCGCAAGCACGTTGAACTACAGTCACGTGACCTGCTACAACATCCGGCTTGGTGTTTTCAAAACAATATAAAAATAATATTCTTTTGGCGACACCGAGTGGTGGAAAATGAGAACCATTAGTTAGTGTATGCAAAGAGTGAAGCAGGTCTATATAATGGAACGAGTAATGATTGAAAATGGACGCTTTTACACAACGGTGGACTGTGTTACACAATACCTTGATGTTTAAATGAGTGAGATAGATAGTTGTAACAAAATTATATGGACTGTCAATGTTTCCCCTTGACACTGTAATGCTGCAAATGCCTCCCTTTGAGAAACGTGTCTCTCTATTTATTTATTTTAATTATTATTTTAATTTGTGTTTCTTTAGGCATTATAGTGTACTGTAAAATAATGTAAACAACTAAATAAAAGGTTCCAAAAAATAATAAAGCCCCCTTACACTCAAAAATTATAATTATTATTACTTCAGTTGAATGTTTGAGCTTCACTGTGCAGAATGATGTATGCACAGTGTGATTTCTGTTTTCTTCTTTTATTCATTTATTTTTTAAATTACATTCAGCATCAATCAAATATTTCCATAAAATATACTGAAGTTTTATTCATATATTCATGTCTGTCATAAATGTCAAAATACCTCTTAGCTAAAGTAGCTTAGGTGACAACATAACCTCCTTTTAATTATAATAATCAGACTAAAAATAATAACTGCTGCAGTCACAAATCTGGACTCTACATTGCCACAGAATGTCAAATATCAGTAAGATATATAAGGTGTATGTCATAATGAATGGAGGTCTGGAGGTTGGAGCGGCTGGAGCGGGGCAGGGGTTGCTGGGTCTTGGGAGGTGTCCAGTGGTAATCCAGGTGAGTCTTTTTTTTTTTTTTTTTTTTTCAAACTTTATTATCCAGGTGAGTCTGCAGAAAGCGGAGTGAGGCCGGGTCAGGTGGAGTGGCGTGCGAGGTCCAGAAGGGTAGCGGCAAAAAGCAGGACCTGGAAACAGGGAAAACACACGGTGAGCTACAAAGCTAGCAAGAGAGCACTGAAAAATACTGGGAGCCGATGCACTATACCACTTAGGTAAGCTTACAATCTGGCGAAGAGCTATGAACTGGACCAGGGTTATATGCAGAGTTGAGTGAAGGCGACTTGATTGCTGATGGCTGGCAGGTGGCTTGATTACCAACGGCTGGCAGGTGTGCAGGTGAATGGCGACTTCAGTTCCGTCCAGCTCCAGACAGAAAAACACCAGGATCCTGACACTGTAAGCTGCTGCAACAGTTTTTGTAAATGTTGAAAATAGAACTTTTCATGACCAGCAGATAGATAGATAGATGGATAGATCAACACAAACACAGAACAAGTAAGTACATACACTTTAAAATACATAATCTGGGTAAATATTCAGTATACTGAATTTAGGGCTGAACTATTATTCTGCTTGGCTGGCCAATGTAAAACTGTATAGTTGAAGATATATCAAGATATGTTTTGCTGGTATAGCATATTTACCCTTAAGTTCTTTAAATAACGAAAATCCATTATATAGGTCAGATAATAAGTATATTTATAGACTTCATTTTTGTGTAAGTACACTTGTTTTTCATATGAACTGCACATCATGTATTCTTTGCCCATGTTTACTTCCCTCATTCATTGTTCTTTACTGTAATATAACAAAGTGTTTTACCATATCAAAGTGTAGCTGGAGTGGAAATAATTAAAAATGTAATATGAAATGTTTGTTTTGTCAGGAACAGGGGAGGGATTTACGTCAAAGCATATCTACTTTTCCATTTCACAAAGATCCAGATGAGTGTGTGGCTGATTCAACAAGCTCAAGCCCCACATTCTGCATTATCTTTGTATCTTCCATTGAAAAAAAGAGAGGGAAGAGTAGAAGAGAGAGGGATGGAGGTGTGAGTGGTGAAGGGTGTCATTTAACTCTGCTCCTCCTGGTTTCCCCGCAGTGTGTTCATCAGTGACGTCTGATGCCTGGAGGCTCTGGATCCATTAAACTGTGTGATGACTGCACCTGAAGTCCAGTACAGGTGAGTTACCATCATAATACAAACTGCTTTATCCAGAAGAATTTTTCTACAGAGATATGTCTTTGTGATGTTTTTATTTTGCCCTTTCTTTTATTTTTGTTTTTTTTTGTCACCATCTAAGGGACTGTACACAAATTATTAAGGGGATAGGAACAGAGGAGGGTTATGTTATTTCTGACTTTTATATTTCATTCCACCATTTTCTTGTGAGATTCACTCATACATTAGATCATTTTGTCAAATAATCAAGATAATTGCATTTTCCAATACACAGGGGACAACACTCATGTCATTTTGTTGGTGCCTCATTTTTTAGCAGCTACTGGAATGGAAATGTCTGTTTTAAGAAACAGCTGATGTGGATCTTGATAGTTATAGGGACTGATGTATTTCTATTAGCGGTCACATTTTCTTTGATCTGCATTATAACAGAATTATGATAAGATCAAACTAATAATAAATTTAGCATGCAGTCATTTAAAGATAACCTACAATATAATTAGGGAGGCAACTAACAATTATTTTCATTATCAATTAATGTTGATTTTTTAATTTTTCAATGAGTTGCTTACACCTATAGCCTAGCCTATAATATAAGCCATTAGCTGAGCCCAAGGCCCTGTCTTCAAATGTCTTGTTATGTCTGACCAACTAAAGACAGTCAATAAAATCATATGGAACACAGCAGAAAATCACTTGATAAAATGATTATCAAAATACTTGCCAATTTATTTTCTGTTAATTTATTAATTGAATAATTTAGCTCTACACATAAAACATGCACAGCAAAACCTGGGCTTGTATTTTTTTTTTTTTTTTTTTTAAACAGTAAAACCTAAGGATGAACCCTCTTCCCCATGGCAATTATTTATGTACAGTCCCTGACTTATGGTAACTGTACAACTACAAAAATTCAACTTCTGCTCTTTTATTCTTTTTGTATTTATTGCTTGTATTGCAAACTGATATAGATGATTTATGGTGGGTTTATTGACAGTATCCATCTATTTACATGTGCACGGCAACAGACCCTATCAGTGTGTGTAAATACTGAACACCCAGGGCACACTTGTGTTTTTGAATGTGTGTGTGATTGTTTTTGTCTGTTATCTGGACCAATTATCACCGCTCAGTTGGTCAGCATAAAGACCACAGGCTGAGCTTCACAATAACTGCTGCTCTATTCATCTCTCTTCTTCTCCTGTGCTCAATTCAGTCCGTGATCAGATGGCTGAACTTTCCTCAGAAGTTCAGCTCTTTGTCTTCGTGTTCCAAAACAAAATGAAACCAAAGTCGAAACAACAGTTTACATTTACCCTGACCTACTGTCCACACTTTGCTCAGTAACGGTACACTATATCTGAGGTGTGTGTTAATGTTAAATCCTGTCTACGTGTTTGTCCTTGCTAAGAGAAAGCACAGTCATTCTATAATGATCATGAAGGCTGACATGTTAGTTAAAGAAAAAAATAGAGAGAGGGAGGGTGAGAGAGGGAGGGGGCGAGATCTGCCCAGTGCATCAGGCTGAGTGGCCCACTGTGGTTCTGTGAGGTCATCTCCTGCATGTCCAACAAACTATCTTCAGTTCGATCCATCACTTTCTGTTTATGTGATGCATCTGTGTCATTGTTTAAACCAGCAGCTTTCAAACTTTTCCCCTAAACATACAAATTAGACCACAACCCCCATTTTGTCCCAGGGCCCTAATCTGATAAGATTTTTGCTTTTAGATGTTTCATTGTATTCATACATTCTGTGGTTGTTGTTGTTACTTATGGATGGAATAATAGTGAAAACAGAGTATTCCCCTTTTTTTCTGAGGACAACCAGGAACCCCCTTAAGGATCCCACTTTGGGAACCACTGGTTTAAACACTGAGGCAGCAGTGGACCGTTGCTTTATATGAATGAGGGTTTGTCTGGAAAACACTTCCGGTTTTGGCGGCTTGCTTAGAGAACGCTGTTGTCAGTCCTCTGCCATTTTCTATCTTAAATCCTGTTGTAACCCATGGTTGTATGGCGGAACCCGTGTTTTGTTCACGCTAAGGCGCTGGAATGTCAACTGCAGCAGGTATATCGACTATATATCGAACAAAAACGACGCAGTCTAAACTAGAAAACTACGGAACGTCAAAGCACAGTCGGGACGCTAAAGAAGCAGGTGCTAATGTTAGCGTAGCCCCAGCAATGGCTGCTGATAAGTTGGGTGAAACTGAACTGAACGGAAATAGTGCTGAGAAAATTCTGGCCGCCATAGACACTTTGAGATAGGACTTCTCCACAAAATGTGACGGTATTTTAACCGCAATAGAGCAGAGTGAGAGAAGAGCTCAGAGAATGCTCAGAATGTGTCACACAAGCTGAAGCAAGAATNGACGGTATTTTAACCGCAATAGAGCAGAGTGAGAGAAGAGAAGAAGAATGCATGTGCATTTCTTAAAAATTGGACCCCGGAGGCGTTGGCCCTGGCTCCGTTGCGCTCCGGCTTTATACTGGAGAGAGGTAACCCAATACGCCAGAGGAAGGATCCTAACGTCCCGCCACGAACTCTCATCATGAAGTTCTTGAACTACAAGGACAAGATGGCGGTAATGAAGGCAGCCAGAGCTAAGAAACAGATCCTATACAAAAATCAGCAGGTGAGGTGCATTCGCTCATTTAATAAGTTTGGAATCGATAAGGGACAGCGAACGAATGTCACTGATAAGCTCTGAAGTCGAAAATCCTAGTTCCCTAACAATAACAATACTGTCCTGTGCAGAATATTTAAAGTTATCCCTGATTTTAGTTGTTTATTTTGTTGTTTCCAATGTTACGGACGATTATTGTTTGGTTATGTAACGCCAATGTTGTGTGGTATGCCTTAGTTACAAGTTTGAAAACACCAATGCTAAATTTGAGTAGGTTAATACACACAGTAAGGTTAGATATTGGTTTATCGAAATAGTGATCTTACATTAGGTTATTGTTTTGTCTCTACTGCTATCTAATTAGATACATTAGCGCTAAAATATGTTGATCCTCTCAGTGGTTTATACAGTATATTTGGGGTATATAAACATTAAATGGTTTTGAGTAATCTAATTGCAAGATTAGGGAAAGAAGTACAGTCTGGCCAACTCATGAGTTGCAAGGCAGGAACGTCTTTAGCTGTAAGGGAAGGTCTTAACACTAGGAGGGGGGCTACCGTTTAGGGTGGATTTAGGTGGGACAGGGTGCTGTTAAAGGTTCACAAAGTTGGATGTGGGTTGAAACATCCGTGTTGGTCATGTTAATGTTTCTCAAATGCAGTCCTTTTTATGTCCATATGGGTAATCAAATTTGTGTCAACTGTCATGTCACAAGGTGTGGAGGTTAAATTTACATCCTGAAATTGCAGAGGCTTGCAATAAACAAAAAGAAATCTAACAAGTCATGAATAGACTTCATAGTTTACAATCCAAAATTATATTCTTACAAGAAACATTTATTAGCAAAAGATATTAAAATTAAGAGGAGGTGGAGGGTTTTTTTCTTTTTCTACACATGCTAGAGGTGTTATGACTTTAATTCATAAGTCAATACCATTTCAGGTAAAACATATAATTAAGGACAAGGCTGGCAGATACTTAATTGTATGGTGTGATGACCCTTTCTGTTCTCCTGGCATGTTGCCTCACTCTTCTCTAGTAGTTCTGGGAGTTGGCTGGAAGGTGGAGTTTGTTTGGTTTGTTGCATCTTACAACACACAGATGACTCTCTTACTCACACACCCCATTTGTTAGTTACTTTGTTTATTCATTTGAGATGAATAAAGCATTTCTTGATTGAAATGTC